CCGTGTGACCTGGAGGGGGGCCGTGTTAGACGTGTGACAAGTCCACTGTGTGGTCTGGAGGAAAACCGTGTTAGACGTGTGGTAAGTCCACTGTGTGGCGTGGAGGAGAACCGTGTCAGACGTGTGGCAGGCCCACCGTGTGACCTGAAGGAGAACCGTGTCAGACGTGTGGCAGGTCAACCGTGTGACCTGGAGGAGAACCGTGTCAGACGTGTGGCAGGTCAACCGTGTGACCTGGAGGAGAACCGTGTCAGACGTGTGGCAGGTCCACCGTGTGACCTGAAGGAGAACCGTGTCAGACGTGTGGCAGGTCAACCGTGTGACCTGAAGGAGAACCGTGTCAGACGTGTGGCAGGTCAACCGTGTGACCTGGAGGAGAACCGTGTCAGACGTGGGACAGGTCCACCGTGTGACCTGGAGGAGAACCGTGTCAGACGTGTGGCAGGTCCACCGTGTGACCTGAAGGAGAACCGTGTCAGACGTGTGGCAGGTCAACCGTGTGACCTGGAGGAGAACCGTGTCAGACGTGGGACAGGTCCACCGTGTGACCTGGAGGAGAACCGTGTCAGACGTGTGGCAGGTCCACCGTGTGACCTGAAGGAGAACCGTGTCAGACGTGTGGCAGGTCAACCGTGTGACCTGGAGGAGAACCGTGTCAGACGTGGGACAGGTCCACCGTGTGACCTGGAGGAGAACCGTGTCAGACGTGTGGCAGGTCCATCGTGTGACCTGGAGGAGAACCGTGTCAGACGTGTGGCAGGTCCACCGTGTGACCTGGAGGAGAGTCGTGTCAGACGTGTGGCAGGTCCACCGTGTGACCTGGAGGAGAACCGTGTCAGACGTGTGGCAGGTCCACCGTGTGACCTGGAGGAGAACCGTGTCAGACGTGTGGCAGGTCCACCGTGTGACCTGGAGGAGAACCGTGTCAGACGTGTGGCAGGTCAACCGTGTGACTTGTCATGTGAGCCGACCTTAGTTGGGTGCGTGAGCTTGGGTCAGGATGCGTAGCATTTGGTGGAAGGCGGCATGGTTTCTAACGTGGAAAAGAAAACGTCAAGGAAGAGTGACGTCGTGAAGCATGTGAATTGTTCGAGAAGCGAATTTGCGGCAGTAGGCTTGCAGACATAAAGCGGTATGACTCCAACTGCATGGGACAGAAACCGCGCGGTATGTGGGCCACTGGCTACTATTGTTCCCCGTCTTGTCGTCAAGGGTGATGACGTTGTACTAAATAATCAGTTTTTCAACACTGCTAGCTGGAGGTGAGTCTTTTGTAGCATGTCAGACAGCGCATTGTGGTTAGCACAACGGTACAACTGAACTGAGATACCCCCGCTATAACACATACGCCCAAACATCAACTACCACCATAGTTGTTACTGAACTTACTCCATGTACGTGATCCTGAGCAGTGGTCACTGCACAAAGTGTGACGCTGGCGTGAGCAACAGTCCTACCCTCTGTATATGCTTTACACGGCGTGTGGAATAAAATGAGGAGTGTATCTTTGGCCTTTTCCTTGCTATTGTACGCAGCATTGTCGCACTATGGCGTGTATCATTTATACGCCCAAGATTCGCCGTCAAATCACGAGTATCCTCGTCATGCAACTAAGAGGGACACAAGGCGCGTCCCTCATTCGTGTCAGACCGAGGCTGTACAGCGCGCGTGTGTGACGGAAACAAGAGCAGGGTAAGCGGCGTTTCGCGTGTCCTGCTATCACGCGTCAGAGCGAGCGTCGCTCAAGGGTTTGGTCTTGGGGTCGAGCACTGGCGAGGACGCGGCAGCACGAAGCGACGATCCAAAGCCCAGAAGGAAGCAGTCTTGCGTGCCTTCCGACTACAGTCTAAGTGCGCTGTTCATGTCGATTCGGCACACAGTGACACGCAGTTACGGATAACAAGCTACCATTTCCTTTCGCGCGTTTGGAGTTGACGTGCGCTGGAAGCGGGCCTGGTGTGCGGTTTGCGCTGTTTTCCACTGGTGGCCGTCACTCTGCAGTGGTCCGCAATGGCTCGGCTTTGGACCCCTCAACAGACCACTGTCACAAGGCGCCCAACACCTCTGGGTGGATGACTATGGCTTTGGACGCTTGACAGAAGCGACTTATGGCCCTTATCTCGTAACTGACTTGTTTGTGTGCTGATCCACGGTGATCACTCCTCACCCCTTAAGGCCCCTATCCCGTAATTGATTCTTGCTTGTGTGCTGAGCCGCGGTGATCGCCCTCACCCCTTAAGGCCCCTATCCCGTAACTGACTCTTGTTTGTGTGCTGAGCTACGGTGATCGCCCCTCACCCCCTAAGGCCCCTATCCCGTAATTGGTTCTTGCTTGTGTGCTGAGCCGCGGTGATCGCCCTCACCCCTTAAGACCCCTATCCCGTAATTTACTCTTGCTTGTGTGCTGAGCCGCTGTGATCGCCCCTCACCCCTTAAGGCCCGTAACATTACCGTAATTGACTCTTGCTTGTGTGCTGAGCCGCGGTGATCGCCCCTCAGCTCACAAGCGCTGTTAGCAGGCTGATTATGGGTAATAGCAGCCAATCACAGCCTGGCCTGACCAGAACACTTGCAGTGAGTGAGTGAGTCACTCTTGTGAGTCACTCCAGTGTCAGGCGCATGCCTCGTGAAGCCATGGGGTGAAGAGGGCGTCGGGAGGCGAAAATGTGAAGAGTGCGTCGGGAAGCGATGAGGTGAAGAGTGCGTCGGGAAGCGAAAATGTGAAGACAGCGTCGGGAAGCGATAATGTGAAGCGTGCGTTGGGAAGCGATGAGGTGAAGAGTGCGTCGGGAAGCGATAATGTGAAGAGAGCGTCGGGAAGAGATAATGTGAGGAGAGCGTACGAAAGCGATGAGGTGAAGAGTGCGTCCGGAAGCGATAATGTGAAGAGTGCGTCGGGAAGCGATAATGTGAAGAGGGCGTCGGGAAGTGATAATGTGAAGAGAGCGTCGGGAAGCGATGAGGTGAAGAGTGCATCGAAAAGCAATGCGGTGACCAAAGCCTCCAGATGGAGCCACTGAACGGAGGTTGTACCTGCGCACTTGGAAATGCCGGCCCCAAAGCCGCAGTCGGTCCTTTGTCTGATCTGCTGGTCAGGTCGCTCACTGGATCTTGGACGATTTTTTTTGGAAAAATAAATGTTTGTGCACTCCGAGTTTGATTTGTTCCCAAGACATCTCAGAATCCCCAGCTGTGGACTCATGATAAGACAATAGCTCAATTTGTTTCCACGGCCATGCGACAGCTCGGCTGCACCAGAGTTGTAGCCTAGAGGGAGCCGTAGCTGAAGAAACACCTTAAAAGGACGGGTGTCAAAACTAATCCTGAGCAACCATATTCTGTTAATGCGTCTCCATCTAATTTGCAGCATTCTCCGAAAGTGTTTGTGTGTCCGGGGGGGCGGGGGTAGGGGGTGGGGGGGTGGGGGTGGGGGGGGAGGAGTTGGCATGATGTCATGGGGGTGGTGACACCGACCTCCTCGCTCACCTATTTTACATCCATATACCTATGCTGCTTGTTCAAATGTTGCTGCAACCAGACGCCATTTGACGTGACAGCAATGCCATTGCAGTGAGATTTAGATGATTTCACGGGTTGCGGAAGCCATGGTTACCCCTATGGCATAGATAACGGTTTAAATTGGGAACGTATTTTGGGAAAATAATGGATATGTGTACATACATGGGAATATATATATATATATATATATATATATATATATATATATATATATATCAAAATGAGTATGGGTACATGCGGGGGAAATATCACAATGTTTCTGCTTACGCTTCCTCGGCGTATAATGTACCAATTATTAGCGCAAAGCATGAAGGTTGTGAGGTAGCCATCCCGTAGCTTTCTCACAATTTGGAACTAAACCGTTTAAAAAAAAAACACATGCAAACAGGCAGGTAACTAGCGACTGGAACTGATATAATGGAGACCACAGGTGGGTGTGAGCACAGCGCCATAGATACCGTGCAGATTGCATGGAGGAAATCTTAGTTGTGAAGGCCTCTGGTGAGATGTCTTATGACGGGATTGATGGCAATGCTCGCCTTAGGACATGCATATTTTGAACATTTTGCTAAGCATGCTTCTGATTTGGCTACAGCGCCTCATTTTCGCATGCCATTCATAGTTAGCACAGGCAGAAGACCGCGAACTCTTTAACAAGCACCGTGATATGCAGTTGGCCGATCGTCATTCCAATCCCACAACAATCTCCTTTTCTGTGGTGCTGCTTTGCTAGCACATAATGCACGGGTTGGATGTACCACGCTCGTGTATCAGGAACTGATATGGCCAGTGCTACTCGTGCTTGAACATCAGGGGCTGGAACACAATTTGTCAGCTAGCGCTACACTGTTTCCGATGGCTGGTTTCATTTCAAGGGCGCCCAGAGCGCGCCATCGTTTATCACGTGTTCAAGGACCCCACCCCAGGAACTGAGGTCGCAGGACTGTCGGTCCGATGGTCTGAAGTTCGTCGGTGAGTAGCGTCATTTCTCGACTTGGCCTTGTATTGGCACTTTGGGACCAGAAATTTTGTCTGTCTCATATCTGGTTAGGGAAAGACCCTTCATTGCAAATGGATTTCTTCCGGCACGGGCCTGCTTCGAAAACTCCGTAATGTACGAGTTATGCTCACAACTTTTTCTCGAAATTTGTCTCGTGATGTTGTCCGATTCCACCGCTCTCAAGCTGATCAAGACTTGTCCGATTCCAAAGCTCTCAAGCGGATCAAGACTTGTCCGATTCCACCGCTCTCAAGCTGATCAAGACTTGTCCGATTCCACCGCTCTCAAGCTGATCAAGACTTGTCCGATTCCACCGCTCTCAAGCTGATCGAGACTTGATTTGCCTACAGCGCCTCATTTTCGCATGCTAATCATGGTTAGCACAGGCAGAAGGCCGCGAACTCTTTGACAGGTACTGCGCCGGTGAAATGCCGGCGCCACATTGAAATATATATGAGCTAAGCGCCTGACAGTTATCCGTCTTTTCCAGATCTCGTGATCAGGCAGGATGTGACGCCGCAATGGATGGCAGCACTCGCCGCACTCTACCGTTTGTGAAGTGCACGGCCGCCAGCGAAGTGAATAACTGTGATATGGCAACTGGACGATGACGCGGAGGTTGCAGCTGATTCTCCTGCTACTGGCTGTCACCGATGGCTTGCCCCAGCGGCCAGCCAGCGAGGAGGATCCAGGTGAGTCAGCACAGCCCTGGCTGGCAACGGTCCCCCCCCCCTTCCCTGCCTTCTCCTCCTCCCAACCTTTTCTCTCTTCTTCTTCTCTTGCCGCCTCTCAATCCCTCCCCTCTTCCTCTCTTTCTTTAACCTTCCTTTCTATTTTCTCGCCTTCATATTCTCCCTCTTCTTATCTGTCTATGTTCTCCTTTCATTTCCTCTCAATCTTCTTTTCATGACGTCTGTTCAGGCAGCTCCAAGGATGTAGTAGTGAAGGTCGCACCGTTGCCTGGGAGTGATGTCGGGGGTAAGGCTGGCAATCTGACTCTTCACAAGATCTTTAGCACTTGCGTTTAAACCCGTTCTTGGCTTGTAATCAGACACCTTCTGTCTATCCCAACCCAGTCAGTTTTGGCCTGTTTATCTGTATCCAAATGCATGGCATTGGACCAGCAGGAGGACTACTTATGCATTTCCACCGAGACATAATCCCTACGACGACTCTGCGGACGGGCAAGACACACACACACACAGAATGGCCACGTAATCACGCGGCTCAACGACCAGTTGAATTTATTCCACCGCCGGCTCGACGGATGCGTTTTTAACTCGACCGTTAGCAGTGATGGATACTCGCCGTTTTGGCGCCGTGCCCACTGTGTAATGACGATCGATCTGCTGCGATCGCGGCGCGCTACCACACGCTGCGTGAGAAAATTGATGCGGTGCGTTCCCAACGGGGGTCCGCCCCAAATTAAAATCACCGCAGGCAGCGCCGACAGCGCTGGGCGGCTCCCACCTGAAAACGGTAGACTCGAAATTGCTGCTCCTGCCAGCCAAAGGCGTGGCCCATGACACGTCCTGATTAGTGTCTAGACTCTCTACCGTATTAAAAAACAACCTTGAATAAATGTTATATAGAGGCACTCCAGTAATCGTGCGCGTTGCCAATGTTTTATTTCTAGCATGTGGTCTTCAGCCTCGTTTCATGCAGTGTTTCGTAGTAAACGTGTGACCACGTCTTCAATAAAATGGATCGGCGATTTTCAAAGCAATAGAATTCAGAAGTTCAGGACAATGTTGCACATAACACTTAAAATATAAACTTAGTAAATGTTATTTACTGGCTTATAATTACTGATGGTGCCAACAAAAGCTGCCCTGTTCTGAAAACATTGGATTGTAAGAAATTTATATTTCACCATTGCCTTGATACTTGATACTCTGATTCACCATAGCCTCGATCTTTTCCATATCGTTGCGCACTTACACCCAAATGGGATTGTCTTCCCTGGTTTAAAGCGGCGGCCCGGCAGGTGGCCCGCCCGCCGGCCCCGGGCGATCACGTGACTGCTGTTTGCTCAGCGGAGGTGCCCTGCTGAGCTTACATCCGCGCCCGGCAGGTGTCGGAAGTCAGCATTAGGGAGGACGAAATTACTCACAACTGCCAACCTTCGTGGATGACTGGCACTACAGTAATTTGTCTTAGGTCCGCTCGAGGCTCGCTGGCTTGGACCATACCCTCAGAACAAGAGGTGACAGTCTAATCCACGCTTGGTGGATGCTATTTTTTGTCAGTTTTCCATCACTCACGTACGGTGTTTGGACTGATTTCTATCTTGCTGACAGGGTGGAGCTCTCAAATCGTGTGGAAAAATCGTCGCGTATTTTACGGCTTGAATCAAGCGAGCTGCATGTTTTTTTTAGGACATTCTCTTGCGAGTAGTATGACTTATCGCATGTGTAACTCTATATTCTCGTAACTCGTAACTCGATATATCGAAATCGATATATCTCGCATCTTGTTCTGCTTCGAATGATTCGTTCTCCGCACATCCAAGGTAGAGCTAACAGCCTTCATACCATGAGTGACTGAGCTTGGCAAAATATGTCTCTGCTTGTTCTTCCATAAATATAAAGATGCCATGATCTGGAAGAGCAGATGCGCAGCATCAGCAAAGGCAAAACAGCAATCTTATCACCACTGTTGGGCGCACTACGTAGTAGGGCGCGCTGCGCAGTCAAAATTTCCTCAGGTGTGAGATGGGGGTGGGTGGGTGGGGGGGGGGGGCAGAGCTTACTGAGAGCGAATCGCGAGAATTTTTAGCCCTCTGTCAGCAGACATTTATAGAGATAACTTAAAACGCGAGTCTCAGAGTAGGGATGGCTTCCGCCCCGTCCCCTGGATGCATCTGTACACAGCAACCAGAGATGAAAAAGCTTAAGCAGAAAATATACATAAATGTAGCGCAAACAGAAAATGGTAGGCAAGAAGAATGATTCCGTATCAGTTTGAAGGGCATGACGCAACTTGACATGCATATGACTAGGATGATTCGTAGGCGCCTCAAGCCCTTTTATAGACTAAAATCCAGCTTCGCTGAATGACTGTTGTTGGGATGCTGCATACAGCAACACTGCAGCCGTGTGAGTAGGAAGTAACGACTGTGTCAACTGCAATAATACCTGCCGTGTAAGCAACCTCCATGTAAGCGACCGGCCAGCCTGAATAACGGAAAACACCCGCCTTTCTGAAAACCGGCAACGTCGCTGCTAAACTGCGCCCTCCGAGCGGTCTTTCGGGCCGGGTTTTCCAACACATGACCACGCCTTTCCACGTATGCACCTCCACTGCACTTCGTGGTCAATTTGCTGGCGCGTGCGGTCAGAAGCAAGGAGTGGCCCAAGGCCAGGAAACGGACGCATGCCGGGCCCTGCAACACAGCTACGCCCGGCCAGCCCGGCTCACCACGCGCATCAATGGGCCGGGCTTCCGGGCGGTGTCCACGTGACCTGTTGCACGGTGTGGGGGGTGGGATGGGGGGAGGGGGTTCAAACATCCAGACGGTCCATGACACACCCACGCCGGTGCTATTTTGCCTGAGCGAGTGGGTGGCAAAACAAGGATGCTCATTTCAACACCGGTGGCAGGTAATCTTGACAAGGTCATAGCGGTCATTTGTTAGCGGGAAACAGTTACAGAAATTGTCTGCAGTGGCCTTCAGGATAGCCGAGTGGCTGCGTAGGGGGATAAACAGCCAGATTCGGACCATACTATGTCGTGGGCAGAGCTTCATGCTCACACTCAGCCAGAAGATGTCGCAGAATGTGGGTCACCACTCAAACCCAGCATCGCGAAGTATATCGGCTAGCTCGGAAGCGGCAGGTGTGCTACTCAGGCATGCTGCTCCGAATGATGACGTCATAAGATCAACGTATAGTCGTCCTCGCCTGATTATCGTCTCCGTCGCTGCCTTCTGCTAGCTGTAGAGCTACCTTTCTTTACATACTGTAGCCATCTTTCTTTGCATGTCTTTTCTTACCTTTCTCTACTTATCTTCTGCTAGCTGCTAGCTATCTTTGGCGCGCATGTTAATATCGCATCAGCTCGCGGTCGGTGCTATTTCTAGCTTGGGATTGCACACACCGATGATTCTGGGCGTTGTATGAGACCATAGCAGACGTGGTCACTGGTCGGTATGGACATATGTGGACTACTTCATGCATGACAGCTCAAACCCACCGGCCTCAATTCCTTCTCAACTAATGAGTCAACGCCCCGAAATTACGCCAAACACGCACGCCATCTGCCTTGACAAGACCAGCTTCCACAGAAAGCAGTCACGCAATTTTGTGTGACTTACATTTCCACCGCTGCTTCAAGCCGCGGAGCCTGCACACCGTGGGTGCGACGCCCGTGTTTTTCGCCGCCACGGCTCGCTTTGCGGTCGGCGGTGTCCGCCGGTCGTCACGTGAAAGCCGCAGGGTCGCTGGAGACGACCTGCTGGCGATTATCATCACCGCTGGCCCAGATTGGGATGATGCGGCGCGCCGTCGCTGCTGGATTTTTAGAAACCCCACCGCCCCAGCTTCCGGCGGTAGGTCTGGTCTGGTCTGGTTTGGTCTGGTCTGGTCTGGTTAGGTCTGGTTTGGGTCCGGCAGTGACGACACCCGACTGACGGGGAGCCAGGGAAAGGAACGATGCGGCAGAGCTCTGCGTTGCGCCCTTTCTGTGCGCGTCTTCCCCTCCCCCCCCTTCCCTATTCACAAGCAAGACCTACACACCAAGCTGTGCCGATAGCAAACTCGGGCACCGCCATGCCAATCCTACGCAGACGTTGTGCACTCACGTGCTCTGCACGTAACAGTTGCAGCACGCGCGAAAGCCTGGTGAAAAGATTTAGCGCTACAGCCACGTGATTTGGCGCCGAGCGCTGTGAAAGGACTCCGACTCGTCTTCGCAAGCTCACTGCAGCGACCAATTTGCTAAGATAACCGGTAAACGCGATAACCCTGCTACCTCTATGTTCAAGCTACCGATATAGTGCTGCTGATAGCTCAGCTGTTTACACAACGAAGGTCGTCTTCTCGTCGCTTACCATTCTGCATCATGTATTTAATTGCTGATGCTTTGTGCATCAACCACACCGTAGCAGTCGTCGGTTACACAATCATCTCTCTACATATTAGCGCTGCTCCTCTTTTTTTCTCTCTCCCTCTCTCTCTCTCTCTCTCTCTCTCCCCTCTCTCTCTCCCCCATCCTCCTCTCTCTCTCCCCCCCTCTCTCTCTCTCTTATCTCTCTCTCCTCCTTTCCTCTCTCTCTCTCTCTCCCCTTTCTCTCTCTCTCTCTCTCTCTCTCTCTCTCTCTCTCTCTCTCTCTCTCTTCTCTCTCTCTCTCTCTCTCTCTCTCTCTCTCTCTCTCTCTCTCTCTCTTCTCTCTCTCTCTCTTCCTCCATTCTCTCTCTCTCTCTCTCTCTCTCTCTCCTCCCCTTCTCCTCCTCTCTCTCTCTCCCTCTCTCTCTCTATCTCTCTCTCTCTCTCTCTCTCTCCACCCACCCACACACACTCTGGCCCTCCCGGCATTTATCTTTTCAGCATCTCCCTCTCTCTCTCCAGCTCATTTACTTTCCTCTTCTTTTTACTGCATGTGTTTTGCAGTTGCATCCCTCTCTGTTGCTCCATCAGCCTGTTCAAACCATCTCGCGCCCCGCTTCATCACGACAGCTCGGCAGGCTGCTAC